GGGACAAAGGCTCCATCCAGCTCTGTTTTTCTTCATTTATTCATTCATTCATGCATCCAAGTCTTCCTGCAAATCCCTGATGAGAATCTGCTGTGAGAGGTGCTGTGCTAAGTGCCCGGGGCCATCTCCAATTCACAATGGAACCACTTAAGATGTTCCCATTTCATGGTGGGGAAATTAATGCTAATTCAGCAGAAACTGTTTCAAATGTAAACTGCCTCCGCCTCCTGGGGCCTCCAGCACTCCTCAGGGGGCTGAGTTGTGATAATATACTTTTGCACACTTTGTGTGTGCACACGCACGTGTGTGTGTGACAATAGTGGGGCTTGAACTCAGGGCCTGAGGGCTGTTCCTTAGCTTTTTCACTTAAGGCTGGTGCTCAACCTTTTGAGCCACAGCTCCACTTATGGCTCTGTTGATTTATTGAAGACTCTCATGGACTTTCCTGCTTGGCCGAGATCTCCACTTTGAACTGAGATCTCCACTTCCTGAGTAGCTGGGATTACAGTCATGAGCCACTGGCACCCAGCTACTTTTGTACATTTTTAAGGAATGGATGCTATACCTCTGCCCAATGCACGGTCAATTATTTGGCCAATCCCTTATGTCTGAGTAGTTAAGGATGCTTGCTTGGCCTTGGGGTTCTCATCCATGCCGTTCCAAGACTTCCATGGGCAGCATCTGCTCATGTGTTATTGCAAGCCTGTTTCTTCTTTAAAGAATATCTGTTCAAATATTTTTCAAATTAAAATGGGCTATTTCTTTTATTCTTGAGTTCTTTATACATTCTGAACATATGTCCTTTGTCAAATATGTGATTTTTAAGTATTTCCTCCTAGCCTCTATATTGGGCTTCATGTGTAGGAAACTTTAGGCATTTTGTTTGTATTATGATTTTTTTCTTTCATACGTACGCTTTGGTATCAAAAAACCTCCTTTCCTAACCAGAGGTCACAAATGTCTTATGAGTATTCTAGAAGCCTGGTACAAGTTTTCATTTTGTACATGGGGCTGAGATCCACTTTGAGCTACGTTTTGTGTAAAATGTGAAGTTGAAAGGGGACATCCACACTCAGGCAAAAGGGACCAGGAAAAGGTCCACTCAACGTGTCTGTCCACGTTCAAAGCCTGGAGGCAGGCCTGGGATCTGCAGGTCTCCAATGCTCCAGAGCATTGGAGACCTTCAGTCTCATCTGAAATATGGCAATAAGGATGCAGGCTTAGCTGACTTACCATGAGAACTGTGGCTGCACTGGAGCAAGGGTTAGGTGCTGTGCATTATGGACCCATTGATGGATGCATGGGTGGATGGATGCATGCACAGAGATGCATGGGTGGATGGATGTAGGAAGTCCTCATGTACCACTTCCAGGAGCTGTCTCTGCAGGAGGCTGCAGGATGTATGCCTGGAACAGTGGACAGGGTCTCGACTGCAGTTAGAGGGTCTACACTGAGATACTGGAAGAACTCAGAAGTGGGAAGAGTACCGGGAACAGGAAGGACAGCCAGAGGCTTCCTGCCATCTGGGCGGAGCTGAGCCTTGTGCGCGTGCTATGCCCAGCAGGTGGCGCCTGCAAGTCTTGCTTGGTACTCTCAGAGCCCAACCCTGGGGCTGCAGGAGCCTAGGGCTCTTTGCAAGATCCCTGCCTGGAGGAGCCATAGTGGCCCAAGAAGATAAGTGCTCTCCCGTTTTCTGCAGAAATGCACAGGCCCAGGACAAGGCACTGTGGATGCTGCTCTTGGTCCTTGCTTTTAGCTGTGTATACTTTGTGAAACTCCATCCCAGCTTCAGGTTCCTGGAGCTGAGGCCAGTAGGTGCATAAGAGATGGTCCCATAACCTAATTCACAGTGCCCAATGTATGAATCTGAGTGGAAATTGCAGAATCCAACCAGAGACAGCCCAAGACCTCCTCTGCTCCAGGACTGCTCACCAAGGCCAAATCGGACCAAGGATGTAACAGGGCAGCCTCTGTGGACATCACAGCTGCCTATGCCCCCTCACCAGGGTGCAGGTGCCCAGAAAGCAAGCAGTAACTATAGAGAAAGATAATACAAAGCCACGTGGTTCCATGCACATTTGTACCCTGGCAGTGCTGAGAAGGGGAAAACACCAGAGGGAGGACAAAAAAAAAAAATCACAGGACAGCAGAGTGGGCAAGGCTGTGAGCTGGCCTTGGCCTTCCATGACACCTGTTCCAGCTATGGGGTCTAGTATATATATGACTTCTTTAAATTTACTTTATTGTTATTATAGTGATATACAATGGGATCACAATTACATGAGTTAGTATCTTCTGTTCCCTCATTCTCTCCCAGTCCCTCCCTCCTGTCTCCACCTATGAATTGTATAGATTACATTCATCAATGTCCAGTACACTCCACTGCTGCACTTTTCACCATTTCTATAGTTTGTTGTTGTTGCTGTTGTTTGTTTGGTCATGGGCTTGAACTCTGGGCCTGGGCGCTGTCCCTCAGCTCTTCAGCTCAAGGCTAGCGCTCTACTATTTGAACCACAGTGCCACTTCTGATTTCCAGAGTGGTTTATTGGCGGTAAGAGTCTCACATACTTTCCTGCCCAGGATGGCTTTGAACCGCAATCCTTAGGTCTCAGCCTCATGAGTAGCTGTGAGCCACCTGACTGTGTAGACTTCTGTTTCCTCCCCCAACCCTTCTGAAGATGTACACTTGAATATACCATACATAAAGACAGAATAATCAAACATTAAAAAAGTGGTTTTTAAAAAAGCGGTCTTCATATTTTGGGAGTTCATTTCAGTATGTATATTATTTACATAAGTATTTGACATTACACCTTTGTGATTTTTTTCCCTAAGAATATCCTCTTTTGATCTCACTGTGTGTCGATCTAGAATCCTGTATAATTTGTCATAACCCAGTGCATTTTAGATCTAATTTCCACATAGAGAATGTGGGCTGTTTGAGTTTGGCTTAACATGATTTGTTCTAGTTCCATCCATTTTCCTGCAAATTTATTTTATTCTTTCTAATGGCTGTGTAAAATCCCATTGTGTATAGGGTGGTTTGTTTTTTGTTTGATTTTTTTTTTTGGACCCACTCACCTATTGTGGGACATCCGGAATGTTTCCGTATCTTGGCTAGTGTGAATAGTGTGGCAATGAGCATGGATACGCAGGTATCTTTGTCATATCCCTGGTTCATGATGTTCAGGGTAGATGCCCAGGAGTGGTTATGGCTGGGTCACAGGGAAGATATATACGTTTAGCTTTCTGAGGAACCTTCAGATTGCTCTCCAGAGTAGTTGTATTAGTTTACTTCCCACCAACAGTGCAGTAGGGTTCCTTTTTCCCCCATCCCTGCCAACATTTGTTGTTGTTTTCATTTACAAAGTTGACCAATCTTACTGGGATAGGCTATCTCAAAGTGGTTTTGCATTTGACTTGCTTTTTCTTTATGGTCAAGAATGCTGAGCATTTCATCATGTTTCTTTGCCATTTTTTTTTTTTTACTTCTTCTGAGAAGTCTTTCCTTTAGTGGTTTATTAGGTGTAAGGCAGGTTAGTTTAAGCTTCTTGTATATATTAGACATTAGGCTTTTGTCTGATAGATTGCTGGTACACATCTTTTCCCAGTTGGCTGGCTGTCTTCCTAGTTTAGTAACTATGTCCTTAACTGTGCAGAAACATTTTACTTTGATGTGATTCCACTTGTCAAGTCTCCACTATCTGTTGTGCCCCTGGGACTCTCTTCAAGAAGTTTCTACCTGTAAGTTCTCATGTCTCTCCTATTCTCGCTTGTAATAGTTTCTGTTTTGGATCTGACACTGAGGTCTTTGATTCACTCTGAATTGATATTAGTGCATGGTGACAGAGATCCACCTTTAGTTTTTTGCATATGGCTGCCTAGTTTTTCCAAACCCATTGTTGAAGAGGCTATTTCTTCCCCACTGTATGTCTTTGGCTCCCTTATTAAATATCAGATAAGTGTAGGGCTTTATTTCTGGGTCTTCTAAACAATATTCTATTAATCTTTGGGTTTAATTTTTTTTGCTAGTACCAAGCTGCTTTTATTATGGCTCAGTAGTAGAGTTTGAAGCCTGGCATTGCGATACCACCACCATTTGCTTTTTTTTTTTTTTTTTTGCCTAAAATTCCTTTGGCTATTGTAGGTCTTTTGTTGTCCCATATGAATTTTTGGATTGAATTCTCTATCTTGGTAAAGAACAGCATTGAGCTTTTGATGGGGATGGAACTGGATTTGTGTAGCATTTTTGGCAGTATGGCCATTTTCATGATATTGGTTTCATCTATTCATGAGTATGGAAGGTCTTTCCATTTCCTAGTGTCCTCTCTTTTCATGTTTTTATGGTTTTTGCTATAAATATCTTTTATGTCTTTGATTAGGTTGATTCCTAGGCATTTTACTTTTTTGAGGCTGTTGGAAATGGATTTGTTTTCATAATTTCTCTGCTTGTACACTGTTGGCATATAGAAAGGCTACTGATTTTTGTGGGTTAATTTTGTATCCTGCTACTTTGCCAAAGTGGTTGATCAGCTTTAGAAGCGTGGGGATGGAGTTTTTTGAGTCCTTTAGGTATAGATCGTGCCATTTGCAAATAGGGATAATTTGATTTATTTCCTATGTGAATCCATTTTATGTCATTTTCTTGCCTTAGTGCTCTGGTTGGGAGTTCCAGAACTATATTGAAGAGTAGAGAGTGGACATCCTTAGCTTATGGCTTTTATGACTTTAATGACATTGTATTATAGTTCACTGGTCCCTTGCAGAACAACACTCCTGAGAGCTTGTATCTCCCCTCCCCCATTGAAACTTGAACTCAGGCCCTTGTGCTTTCCAGGCAGGTACTCCACCACTTGGGCAGCAGCCTTAGTCCCCATGTGTCATATGCTCAGTTCCCCACTCTGCCTGACACAAATAGGTTTGCTGTCAAATGGCCAGAAATGTGCTTGCTGACTCAAATAATCTTAGAATTAGAGAAGGAAAAGAAATATCCAGGTACATTCCTTTTAAGATAAAAATTTTATTTTACAATTTTATAAAGCAGCTTTACATTAAGCACAATTCATTTACTTTGTATAGAAACAAAATAACCTTTCCATCTGCAAAAAAATCAAGTTTTGCTGCATATAAAACTAACATGTGCACATTGTGCTTCAACCGCAAAGTCTGTACAGCGTTACACAGGACTACCCTTCAAGGAGGGTGTCATGTAAACATTTATTGCATATTTCACACATGGTGTACAGCCCACATGTATAGTGGAGGAGAAAGACAATGACAGGACGCTGGAACCGCAGCTCCTGTGAAAGTGCACACTGCCAAGAAGACACTCGCTGCACAGGAGCTTTGTGGTCACCTCTGCACCCCTGGCACACCTGGTGCTTCTTGACTGAAGCCTTACGTACAGGAACTCCAAAAGGGTCAAACTTGACCTTGGTCTGGAAGCTTTTGGTTGGTTGAGCAATTGAAGTGACAACCAATTATCAGCAAATTACCTTTGCTGTTTAGGTGAACAAAACCAACACCTATAGTCTTAAAGAAAATAAAAATTAAAGAAACAAAACTTTAAAGTACCCTCCCCAGTATTCCTAAACTCAAAATAAGTAAACATTTTCCATGATTTAAAACCCTAGACAGCTCTATAGTTGTCAGGGTGAAAATGCAGGTGGTCCCAGGTGGCCTCCCTCCTTGGTGGTCCAGCTCACCTACAGGTAACCATCCTGCAACAGGCTGACTTAGGGATATCTGCGGGGTATCTGCACTTCAATCAGCTCCATGATTCCGAACGTCCTCAAGTACCCACAATGCCCCTTGGGGATAGAAGACAAACCAAGCTGCCACTACAGTGTGGAGGGCAGTGTTAAACCAGCAGCAGCCCTTCCTCTCCCCTCCCCTCTTAGCTTGGGACTGTGGGATTAAGGCACTGGTATGTCCCAGAGCAGGACCACAGTGTTCTCACCAGCTCTCCTCCTCTGAAGACCAGCATGCAAACACAAACAATCCTGGACCCACTAAGTAACAGCAAACATGGAGAAGGAGGGCATTCATCTGAAACGTCAGCACGAAAAAATGGGGGAGGTCCTTGCCTTTATAACTGAGATGACATATTTAATGCTTAAATGTTGTTGAGACATTGAATGTATGAGACTTACAAAGGTGGACAGGGGAATGTAACACCCACATCTGTCTGTTATGGGTAAAATGAAGAGCTGGGGTCATAGAAATTGGGAACCAAAGCTTATTTGTATACTGCCAGCTTAAAATTGTTTCCAGTGTGGAATGAATTTTCATGTTCCTGCCCACTCTGAGGTGCATACATTTTGTGTACCTATCACAGACATGTATGTTCCATTGCACAACACCATGTAGGCAGAGAGGGCACCGGTTCTTCTGAGGTCAGGTGAAGAGCACTGTGTCGGCTGAGCCCTTCAACATGTAGGAGCTTGTGTGTTTCCAAGCTGTATGTTATTATGGGGCTTATGTTTCTGGGCTGTGCATTACTAGGAAATCTGTCTGGGGCTCAACAAAGACCTTTCCAGACACAGCAGCAGCACCTCTTCTAAACAGCTGGAATAAATCAAAACTAAGTTTTCAAGTAACAACAGAGACAGAGCCCCAATGGCTTAGTGAGAATAGAGAATGACCCCCAAGGGGAGGGAACCCCAGTGTGATTTATGTATGGAACATTTAAGCTAGGCCTTTCCTCAGGTGCAACAGAAGAGATGGTGGTCCTAAAATTTCTAAATCCTCCCCAAATTTAGGTTTAAAGTCAATATTCTACATCATGTCCCCGGACTAGACAAAACTGTCAAAGTGAAGACAAAAGGCAACACAAAGAAACCATCACACAGGGGTGGCAGGAGGGACAGGCTGATTATCACACTTTCACTGATTGTAGATCAAGTTTCATAAACATTTCTGTAATTTCTTGTGCGGTCAATAAGTTTCATTCTAGTTGTGCTTTACATACTGTGAAGCCTGAAGACTGGGTGTGTTTAATTTACACACATCAAGAAAACCATAATGCAAAATAGTCTCCATATGTATCAAATTGAACAAATGCAACAAATACCCATTCACCTCCCAGAAATGTCTAGAGAAAAGAAATAGCTTTTAAAAAGTTGAGCACAGTCCACTATCCAGGGTACAAACACACACTGACTGTATTACAGCACATATTTTTTAAACATCTGCTTCCAATATAAATATAAATAATCACATCTGAAAAGCGCTCCGCACTGCGTGTGGATGTGCCGGCAGCTGGCCAGGGCTATTCACCGTTACTTATTGTCTACAGCCTGCAATGAGCAAGGCACCCCAAACATTCCTGCTCTAACTGCCACCTGCCCACAGAGCACACGCAACTGTCTCAGGCCAGGAGCAGGGTTCCCCATGCCTGGTGCATGGCCTGTGGCTTATGGTTCTGAGGCTGACCATGGTTTGGTTGTTGGCACTAGTTGTGCTTTGCCCTGCCACCTTTGAGGTAGCTCTTCCACCTCCGGGCAAACTCTCTGAAGACGGGAGCATCATCAACAGTGCTGAGCAGCTGCAGCTGGTTGATGTGGGTGGTGTGATAGTCCCAGCGGGCCAGGTTGGGAGCAACACCCAGCATGAAGTGCCGCAGGTCGTAGATGGTCCCTGAGCCCGTGTCGTACAGGGGCAGCATGGCCTTCAGGGACTCCATCCCACGCTCATATAAGGATGCTGCTTCTTTCCCAAGTGTCTCCCCCGCAGTCTCCTTTAGGTCATACAGCCCGATTAAGGAATACATAAAGCCATTTAAGACAAAGGAGCTAGGCGTGGTTGGGTATTCTTCATACCAGTCATGTTTGTTCATGAACACGGCTTTGACACCACGCTGCTCTGATGGGAACTTGTAAGGGGCTGTAGCCCGTAAAGCTGAACTGAGGAATACCTGGTCTTTTGTTAAGAGATAGGCCCTGACAAGCGTAGAAATGGCTTGCCCCTGCGCCATCGCAGAGTACCACCCTGGCTCTAAAGACTTAAACCCTTCCCCTAGCTTCCGGGTCACCATGATGGGCCATCCACCCCTCTCGTCCTGATTCCTTACCAGCCAGTCACTGGCAGCAAAGAAGGCAGCCATGTGGGCGGTGGTGGAGATGGTGATGTTGTCCAGAAAGCCCTTTCCCTTTGCAATCAATCGCACCACTTTTCTGGGCATTATTTTGGTTGGCTTGACAGCTTTTGTGTTGGAGAGCCCCACTCCTTTCCTGAGGTCAGTAACTAGGTCTCTGGTGACTGTGCTCCATGAAGTTCTGGGCCCGATGCCATAGTATATGTCCCTTTCTTTAAAAGCAATGAGTTGGGTATTTGAGACATAATGGATAGTGAAGAGCTGGCCCTTCTCGGTGGTCTCTAGAACCACAGACACGCTCCCGTTCGTTAGGAACTTGAGGTCAAATGAAATAATAAAGTCTTTTGTGTTTCCCAGCTGCAAGGACACACCGTCACTGGCTTCTAAAGAGGAGAACACATCAATAAGACTGGTGAGGAGAAAATGCTTCCAAACTTGAGCTTTAGTTATCTATATAGTGTGTTCTTGACAACTATGGACCATGCAAAATTAACACTTGAGAATTCTATGTATCAGATTCATATGCATTTTTCTTTTACTAAGTTAAAGTACTGACACACAGTAAAGGACTCAGAGGAAAACTAAAACACTGCTGATCAAATTTTCTTTTCTAAGCCAGGTGATGATGGCTCCCAGTTGAAATCCTCGTTATTCAAAAGCTCTTTCAGGAGAAAGATGCCTGATCCTCAGGAGATCTGAAGATCATGGTTCAAAGCCAGGGTAGGCAGGAAAGTCCATGAGACTCCTATTTCCAAATAACCACCAAAAAGTGGAGGTGTGGCTCAAATGGTAGAGCACCAGATTTAAGTGAAAAATCTAAGGGATAGCACCCAGGCCCTAAGTTCAAGCCCCAGTACTGGCACAAACATAATCTTTTCTAGTGCTAGTACCAGCTCCAATCGCTGATGACCCTGCTGCCCTCCTATAAGAAGAAAAGCAGACAAACGCTGGCCCAGCTCACAGCGTTGGAAACTGCAGAAGTTCCAGATTTCCAGTTTTTATCTAACAATTAATGTTACTCCATTCCTAATGCTCTCTATCTCACTTAAGACTTCAATTCCCAGAGCTGTGTTTGTGCACACCAAGGCCTGGATGAGGAGACTGTCTCTATAGTACTTGTACTTATGAAAAGTTTACTGTGAATGAAATTACTGGAAGTTATGCGGTGGGCTCAAGTACAAAATAGAAAGGTAATGGGGAAAGCATAGGGCTTGGAGTTTAAAACTTTAGACTGAATGAACACCATTAGCTATGGCAAGGCAAAACAGATGGTGTTTCAGTCCCTTCACATGTTGAACAGAGATATATTACTTTGCAGGGTAATTGTGAGGATTTTTTAAAAAGACAATGGCTCAGAACTAGTAATAAATGATAATGCTTCATAGCACTAATTAGCACATGTTAAGAAAGTAGCAAAAGCTATTTTATCTTCAAATTAAAAATAGGAATTTCTCTTGGACAGCTCCAACACAGTGATGGCGGAGGACTCTGAGTCCTGATCATCTCAACTACCAAGGAAAGAAATGCACATATTAAAACCAAACGCAGATAGACACAGTGATACATGTCTCTAATCCCAGCTACTCAAGAGGGAGGGGTAGGAAGGCTGTGGTCCCAGGCTACCCATGAGCAAAAAGCATGAGACCCTAGCTGAAAAACTAAAGCAAAAAGGGGTGGAGCATGGCCTAGAATGCTTGTGTAACAAGTGTGAGGTAGGCCTTGAATTCAAAGCCCCAAGACCCCAAACTCTAAAACAGCAGCAAGAATAAAAAATATTACAGAGAAATATGAGTACCTTGGTCTTTACACAGCTTATATTTCCAAAAACACATCATATGGATTGATTATCTCATTCTATCCCTACAATTATCTGAAACAGCAAAATAGGAATTGACATGTTTATAGGAGAGATCAAAGCACACAGGCTTTCCCAAGGCCAAGAGCTAACTGGTGACAGCTAAGTGGTTCAGGTTTCCTGGACCCAGGTTCAAAGACTTTAAGAGAGAAAAGCGCTACTGGAAGAAACACCCTCATGGCAAGGGTTACTGCTCTAAGTCCCATAATGTCAGACCTTGGCCAGGGCACTCCTGAAGATCCCTTTGGTATATACACAAGAACACAGATTAGAAGCGGGAACTTGGAACTGTGCTTGCAGCAGTCAGTGTGGAATGTGAGCACATTGGGCTATCATCTAACCCTTGTGCTGGAGCCCAGCACTGCAGACTCTGCAGCACATGCTCTTGGTTGCTTTATGTAGTGGACCAGCCACAGTGGAAATTGTACCAGGGACACGAGCATTGCGATGGCCTTGCCCATTTTATCATGCTTTGAGAGGCCATTACTCTCTCTTAACTAGCACTTCCCACTTCTGCAGTGAACGGGATCTGAAGCTCAGTACTGTAACCCTGAAACATGGAATGATTCTGAACTGATTTATGAATCACTCAAGATGACATTACCCTTAGCAAATCAGACTACCCTGAGTGCTGTTTACTCTTCATTCTCAGGGTAAGGCTCTTTCATAGTCAACAATGAGAGGAAAGCTAAAGATATCATTTGCTCCAAGAATTTTCTTCTAAATGACACAATTTAAAGAATCACTTGCTATGTCCAATAATTCACTAATGAATGAAGTGGTGGGATGTAGCATTCCCATCAGCAGAGAGGTTCCTGAGTCACACAGCCATGACAATCTACCATTACTCTTCAGTTCTTCCACCATTCTTTACTTCATCACCAGCTTTACTAGGCTGAAAGGGAGGAGGCAGTGCTCAGAACCTTGATGGGGCACGGGTTGTGGGTCATAGGCCTGAGAAGGAAGGGCTAGAAACAAGAGGCACTGACATGCCACGTCACAGAAGTGACAGAGGATGCTTTGTACTTAATAAAGTATGTCGTGACACACTTCTAGTTCAGTTTTAAAACTGGGAAAATATTCAACAAACAATAAAAATGTGCTGTAGACTCATAAAATGCACTGTCACTTATTTTTATTTCCCAGACAGGATCTCACTACATACTTCAGGATGGCCTGGAACTCTTGATCCTGCCTCCATCTTCTGAAGGCTGGGATTACAGGTGGGTCCCACATCTAGCTTATACTTTTTTCCCGCCACTCTAGATGATTTTATTCTCTTTCAGGAAAACAAAAATTCAAGGCCAAGAAAGAAAAAAATGAAAGGTCAAAAGTCTCCAGCCCCTGTGCCTGCAACACTGGGTACTGAAATGCCTCCATGAGGTCTGTCCTCTAAACAGCCTCACGCATCATACACCTGTGTCCATTTTCATCTTCCCCTCTCTCCTCCTACAGACTCCTGTAGTATGCAAGTACGGGCACTACTGGAATGCCCAAACATCTACACCTCACCAGTACCCAGTGTCCCGTGGCAGCATGGTTACGACTGACAGAGTTTTCTCCCTATGATTTACCTCCAGCTATGGGCCATGGATAGAGGCCAAAGGGAAACCAGAATATAGGACATGGAAGTATACAGTGAAAGTGCTTGCTCTAACTAGGACAATTTATACAACAGTTCTGAAAAACCTCCCAGGAACTCAGGATGCAACAGCTGTTTTCTATCCTTATTTACACAGATCCTTGGGGGTACCCCAAACCAAATGTTCTTTGGCTTTATATAATAATTTCCTGCTGAAATATCTTCTTAAACATCACAGGCTCCTACACTAAGAAAAGATTCTGTCTTGGACTCTCACAGAATGCCATAGAGGAAAGTTCTACTCCCAGAAAGGAATGTCAAGTCACCCTGCACATCATCAGCTCTCACCAATCCATGACTGAAGGCCATCTAGAAAGAGGTTTGTCCTGTGGCTTACAAGGTCTGTAAATTCCCCAGTCATCAGTAAAGGATGCGGTGAGAACACAGAAGAGGGCTTATAACCTTTTCTCTCTTTTGTATTTATCAACTGCAAGGATGGTACAAGGGGAATGGGTTCTGATCTTGACAACATCTCTGTAGAGCGAATTAATCCTGATGTGCTAACTAGTATGATTCCATTGTCTCTTTAAGTAATGGACTCATTAATTCTTATAGATATTGATCAGTGCAGAAAAATGCATTATATCCTAATTAATGAGACTGTCAGTAAAAGGGGAGATGATGCATAAAGTTAATTTGATTTTTTAAATGATTTTATTAATGAAGATGGTTTTATATGAAGTTTGAGAGAATTTAGTACATTAACACAATTCAATATGGGAGTAGGCCTCCTTGGTAATGCTACTTTTGTTGAAAAAGTTACAAGCTATTGGCAAAAATTACACAAAGGAAAGGATGGCTCTTTCTGTAAAAGTTCCTTCTACATTAGGGGGAATAACTCAAAAATTAAACTATACTGCAGTACAACATTACACTAAACTAAGGCGGTTAGGGTACAGCTCAGTGATAGTGTTTGCCTAGCACGCACAAAGTCCAAGGTTTGAGTCCTAGCACCACAAAGCAAAGGAAAACCCAAACCAAAGCCCAGGGACCCCATTTCTGTGGGCTGCAGAACCCAAGAATCCCCCTGGAGGAGTGTGGACCTCAGCTCTTCATACAACATACACTTCTCTCTTTATAACCTTGTTGCTTTTCTTCTAGCCTCTCCTTCTGTAGGGAATTCACTTGGATGATACAACTACTTTATTGACTTGTGTGACATAAACAGTCTGCTAATATGTTTTTAAGAATGATTTGAAAATTTTAAGGGAATGTCAACAGAAAGGTGAGCAGCGCTGATGGCATACAGCTTACCTGGGGCAATAAACTGTTTCACATTGGTGAATCTAGACTTGTCAGCCACACTGGCCATAAAGCAGCCCTTGGGCACTGCCCAGGCATTGGGTTTGCCATTTCTGTCCTCATCTTCGGCTGTCTCATACACCTCTACGTGAGGAGGCTTCTCTGTCAGGTTCTTGCTATAATGGCTCAGCCCATACTGTGCAATCTGGATGGGGTAAAAGTAGCCTTGGGGTCCCCACTGAGTGGACAAAGGCACACCTGTAAAAGAGGAAGGATACACAATTACTGCCAGACATTTCTCGCTGTGTACCCGCATGCCTCAAGGTTATGGCCTTGTACCTGCATGGCTCAGGATTAGGGCCACTTGGCAGCTTTCTTATTATGCTGCTCTCCTAATTGCTCCAAGTTGTCCCCCCAAGTTAAGCAGATACAAATATATTATTCTCATGTGACACACAGCTATGAACAAACTAAACCTTTTCAGGACTGTTTATGTACGTCACTTCTGCTCACAGCTACAGGAGTTACTTTTCGTGATCTTGTTCACATATTCACATTTTGCACAATTTTAAGCACAGACCTCACCTCACCCGGTTTATTCTAAGTAACAATCCTGTAATTTTCTTTAACATCAGTAGGTAACACTCCATTAACTACCTCCCTCCAGTGTCAAGGTCTAACAAGGAAGTATTCCATGTAATGGCTAAAGTATTTGTTTAATGAGAAAACCTAAAAGTACATACCCAGCTTAAAATTACTTTCATACCTTTCTGGTCAAAATGTAATTCTTAAGAACAAGGACTGCCTTTTAAAAACTGACTTGGGCCGGGCGCTGGTGGCTCACGCCTGTAATCCTAGCTACTCAGGAGGCTGAGATCTGAGGATCGCGATTCAAAGCCAGCCCAGGCAGGAGAGACCATGAGACTCCTATCTCCAATAAACCACCAGAAAACCGGAAGTGGCGCTGTAGCTCAAGTGGTAGAGCGCTCGCCTTGAGCTGAAGAGCTGAGGGACAGCGCCTAGGCCCAGAGTTCAAGCCCCACCACCGACAAAAAAAAAAAAAAAACTGACTTGGTTTTATACTTGATCACATTCAATTCCTTCTCTTTTGTCTCCAGCCCTTTTAGTACCCCAGGCTGGTCTGGAACTCATCCGCCTGCCTCAGCCTTTCAAGTACAGGGATTACATTCATGTACCATCATACCTCAGCAACAGATTATGTCTTGTAAAATTCTAGGGCAACTTCGAAATGTTTGCTATTAGTGTTTAGTTAGCAACTTTCTACATGGAAACTACAATACTACATTGCCCAGAGTATTTCATGGCTCAACTGTGTTTACCTGTTGGGAGAGAAACTCTTATCTGTAGTTCTGAAATGAAAAGCAGGCATCTGACCAGCACAGCAGACACTGGAATCTATAGCTGACAATTCTACTATTCTGATGTAGTTTCAAAACAATCCCTGACAACAGGGGCTGTTGTGGTTTCAACAAGGTCTGAGTGTGCCTCCAAGGGCTAGTGTTGGAGGCCTGGTCCTCATTGTGGTAATACGCATAATTACTTAGAGGCGGAGCTTTGTGGGGAGTGATGAGGTCTTAGGAGAACTGCCCTAGGAAGTCACAGATGCAGTTCTCATGCTGGAGTTGTTATAAAATACAGGACCTGGTGTCAGCTGCTCAAGCCTGCAATCCTAGCTATTCAGGAAGCCAAGAGCTGGAAGATGGGGGTTCAAAGTCAGCCTGGGCAGAAAAGTCCTTGAGATCGTCTCCAAAACAACCAGCAAAAAGCTGGGCTCATTGGTAAAGCACCAGAGCAAAAGCTGAGCAAGCATGTAGCACTAAGTTCAAATGTTGGTACCAGAAAACAAATCAAAACAGAGCAAGACTGAAAACTAAGGCCTTCCCCATGTTCTAGCTTCCTATCTTACCATATGACCTCATGCTCTCACAAATGCTCTCTTCATAATGCTATCCAGTAACATGGCCAAGGGGCTTTCACAAAACCAGCACCATGCTTCCTGCACTTGTAGCTCCCAGTGAGTTAAATATAACTCTTTCTTAATAAAGACTGTGGTTCCAGGTATTGCTGTAGCAACAAAAGCAGACTAATTCCAGGTACTTTACAAGCTAAGAGACCAGGTTACAGGTGTTTTCATGTCAGTAACCTTTCTCTGGGAATGCCCGCAAAGTAAGCAGAACTATCACATCATAAAATGTACATAATCTAACAATGGTACAAGAATTGGGACTGGTCAATGGGAAAGAACAACAAGCAAGCAGTCTGCTGGAGTCTTATGGAAATTTGGTAAAATGAATGATAGAGACCATGTTCATGAATCAGGAAGGAAAAGAAGAGCTCATTCAATACATGTTACGTCTGGGGGGAGAGGTTTCAAACTGGACCCTGACCTCAGATACCATTTGCCAAGAAATAAATCAATTTAACTGCTTTAAAAAGTTAAAAGTAAGCAGGGTGCTGGTGACTCATGCCTTAATCCTAGCTACTCAGGAGGTTGAGATCTGAGGATAATGGTTCAAAGCTAGCCAGGGCAGGAAAGTCTATTGGAGGTAAGAGTCTCATGGTCATAAAAAGCCAGAAGTGTCATTGTGGTTTAAGTGGTAGAATGCTAATCTTGAGCAAAATAAGCTCAGAAACCAGTGCCCAGCCCCAGAGTTCAAGTACCAGGACCAGAAAAAAAAAAGTTAAAAGTAGGGCTTGAGGTGTAATTCTGTGAATGGCACTTTGTATGTGTACAGCCTGATTTGATCCCCTGCACTAAGGAAAAAGCCAATCAGGGTGCAGCACAAAATGAAGAAGTTATATCAAAAGAAACTTTTTTTGGGGGGTGCTGGTCCTGGGGTTTGAACTTGCCATGCAGATACTACCACTTGAGCTACACCCTCAGCAATCCATATATATATTTTTAAATAGTAAAATCAAGTTTATATTGAAATTAGCATTAAGGTATTAAAACCATTCTACAATAAGGAAGGTGAAATACAATGAAACTGAAGCCAAGATATTTCTAATCACATTACGTTCCTTCTCATTTAAACAATGCACTTCAGAGTAAAATTCAATTTGACTTCCTGGTCACTGCTACATTGGAAAACCAAAGTCCATAACAGACCAATTATTCCCATCAGGTACTCCAGGGTCCCACAGTTTTAGAGGCAATGAAAGGCACTTTCTGTACTCTACAGGTAACTGGTAAGTGCAGAGGACATGGAATGGGGGTTAGGAATTGTTGTCCTTGGACCTGAACTTTCCTTCCAGTGATGGCAGCTGTCTAACCAGGCAACAGACAGTACGGTGTGGCAGGGGACGGGACACAACAACAGTGGATGCTCTCTTTTCTCCCAATCCTCTCACTAGAGGATAAAATTTATATACATATACATATATATATATATATATATATACACACACACACATGTATATGCATATATAAATACATAAATTTTGTTTTCTCGCACATACTAGAGATTGAACCCAGGGCCTTGTTCAAGCTTGGCAAATGCTGGCAAATGTTTATCAACTGAACCAGATTCCTAGCCCCAGAACTGCATATATGAAATCAAAATTTCTGTAGGTGCTCTGCCCCAACCTAAAACCAGTGAGACTCTGGAAGAAGGTACTGGAAGAATGCTATGTGTTCAGGTGTGCTCTTCCTGCAGCCCTTAAATCAAATAGCTAGAAACCTAAAGCTCAGACCTGACTGGTTCCTTTTTGCCAAGACAGAGCAATGAAAAGGCTTCAACCAATAGCTGTGTACTCACAAGCAGGCAGATACCAACCTTCAACTCCACTGATACACTTGACTCTGTCTCGGACTTCCACATTGTAGCCTTCAAAGGACATGAACACGCCATCTGGGTGGTAGGGGGCTCTCTGTGCGTAGACTTTGGAATAGCTGTGAGAGAATTCAAACCGGTCATAGCCATCATGCTGAACCACCTTTCCGTAAACGTCAAAGTATTTCTCCACCCAAGTGAATGGAAGAAAGACTTCACTCCCCTCTCGTCTCCCTTTAATCGTGTGCTCATCATTGATGAGACAGTCAATTTCTTCATATTTGAGCCCTAACACCTTGCTGCCCACACTGCCATCGAAGCCCCCAGCCACAGGGGGTGCTTTCTGCTGCTCCTGCAGGAGCGTCTCCTCTGACTGCTGTCTGCCCCCGTGGTTCACACGTCGGTCACTCTCAGATGCCGCCGCTCTCTTTTCTAGTCCATCCACCCTGAAGCCATTACTCAAGTGCCGTGGAAATGAAGTTGCATTGTCACTGGAACACCTGTTCCACAGAAGTACTGTGACCAACGTGAAGAGTGCACAGATGATAATCAACGTCTTGTAGTTGACCCGAGCTGCCAAGCAACGCATATTCACACCATACCTATGAGGGCAAGAAGGAAGATTCATGCACAGATGTGTCGTTGACATTTCTGAAATTGGGTAAGATTCTCTTCAGTTTTAAAATAACCAAAACCACATTAGGGCAATTTTATCAAATGCAAAAAAGCTGACTCAAATTTTTCAGAATGGACCAAAAAAAAGGTAAGAGGATTCCACCCCTTCATCTGCATCATCCTCTCAAGTGGAGATGCCCAAATTCTCTTACTTTGTGCTCCCTTGGTATCTTGGCAATTTTCTGCAAGGCTCCCTAAGCCGAAAGATTTTCTAGTTCTGTTTTAAATAGCTAAGAACAAACAATTTAAGCATTTCTGTCCTAACAGCTTAGTCACTTCTGAAAAAACATAATCGACCCTTTCCTGCAAAGCATCAACACCCATGTTACCCAAGCCTCCAGTGAACCTGCATTGCTCATTCTATCTGGTATCTTAGAGCATAAAATGGACCTTTCCTCCTGATGCCACTGTTCCTAGTCTCCAAGGCATCCTCTCTCTTGGTCCTCTCCTGCAGTACTATGCTATCTTCCTTTCCTTCCTTAATCTTCTGTGAGTCTTCCTTCTTATCTCCTGACCCTTGAGGGTTATAGTGTCTTAGGGTCCCAGTCCTCAGATTTCTTTGTCTATTTTTCCCTAAGTGATTGCAATTGGGTCTTGTGTCTTTAAATACAATTTACATACCAACTACCCCCAAATTCTATTTCCATGTCAGACTTTTCTTTGCAGATACATATACCCAACTGTCAATCTAAGTGATGAGTATCTTTTTTGGGGGGTGGGGAATACGTGTGAGTGCCAGTCCTGGGGCTTGAACTCAGGGCCTAGGTACCGTCCCTGAGCTTTTTGGCTCAAGGTTAGTAGTGCTCTACCACTTGAGCCACAGCTCTACTTCTGGATTTTTGCTTGTTAATTGAAGATAAGCCTCATGGAATTTTCTGCCCGGGCTGGCTTTGAACCATGATCCTCAGATCTCAGCCTCCTCAGTAGCTAGCATTACAGACACAAGCCACCAGTGCCTGGTGTAATTGGTATCTTTTCCTAGAGATCAAATAGATTTCTGAAATGCAATAATCAAAATTTATCTCCTAATCCACTTGTTCCTCCTTCCTGCAGCTCACACTAAAACTCTGATTCCTCTTTTGCTCATCCCATATCCAGTCAGTCAGGAATTCCCTCACAGTGTACCCAGCACATGACCTCCTACTTGGTGAGCCCAGCACATGACCTCCTTCACGCTATACCCTGCATGTGACCTCTTCCCACCAACACCACCTGTGCCACCAGGCCACTTTTTGCCTGAAATTTTGCAGCAATAGCCAACTGGTCTCTGCCTCTATCTTGTCCTACTACTTTACACCCCTAAAGTCTATTCTCACATAGCTGTCAGATGAGGTTTTAACTTAAAGCTGATGATGTCATTCCAGTCCTGATGGGAGAAGAATTTGCTACTATTGATCACAACATAGGAGAGAGTACGTGCAATGTATGGAATATTTCAGCCTACAGAGAGTAAGGGGAACTATATACAGGCACCTGTGGCTCATGCCTGTAATCCTAGCTACTCAGGAGGCTGAGATCTGAGGATCATGGTTCAAAGCCAGCCTGGACTGGAAAGTCCATGAGACCCTCACCTCCAATAAACCACCAGAAAACCACAAGTGGCTCTGTGGCTCAAGTGGTAGATGGCTAGCCTTGAGCTGCAGAGCTCTGGAGCAGCACTCAGGTCGAGTTCAAGCCCCACAACTGACAAAAAAAAAATTGGCCACAGCCACTCTGTAGTTTATGCATGGAATGACCTCATCAACTGCTTATTGTTTTTATCCCTTCTCATTTTCCCCACAAAAAAACTTTTTGGCAGAAATAAGATAAAAAGAACCCCCTCTACACACACACACACACAGACACACGCGCGCGCGCACACACACACACAATAATGTTCAATGAAAACTTAAATGATGAATTTCTGTTTCCTAAGAAAGACAATGGCAAATGAATAATTCATTCTTTTAATTCTAAGAGAAGGCAATCTCTGAGACTTAAAACACTGTCATTCTGCTCTCACAATTAGTAGTCTGGCAGGGAAATCCTGGGTTGCATATCATTTTGCATTAAGAGTTACTGAAGTGTGGTTTGTCTGGTAAGCTGTCACTGTGTGTAGGAATGTTGGGGTTCCCTGCTATACCCCACGAGCCCTTCCAATGTAAAACTTGTGTCCTCTGTCCTTGGTTAGTGGCTGTGGTTCTTCCTGGATCTCAGTGTAAGACAGCTTTTCAAAATACACTTCTCTGGAAATTTCTACATTTCCCACTGATATTCTTCTGGCTAGTTTCCTCTTGCCATTACTTTTCCTCACATGCCTGGTGATCTTTGGTTACTTGTTGAAATTGAAGCGAGAATAACTGGAGCCAACACAGAGCTCCTGTTACCTGAGGATGGTCTGGGTTTTTAGCTTGATGCTCTCCTGGAAAGGATGGAGGGGAGAGCAGGCAGGCGGGCACTGACAAGAGGGCTCCTCCAGGGGGAGCAGTGCTTCAGCAGACATTGGAAATGCTGAAGGGAAAGAGCTTTTTCTGTTGGTTCTGGGGATGCAACAGGGACTTAAGAGCTTTAGTCTTTCTCAGTTCCTCTTCTCCACTGTAGGAAGTTGGAAGGGGCCTTACAGAAACATTCAAGGTCTGTATCTAGCTAGCGTGCATTATGGGGCACTTCCGTCTTGTCCAAGGAGTGAGGTGAGTTATCAGCATGAGCTGAATCACCAGCATTGTATTTCAGCTGCCGTGCTCCAGAGGTGGTAAATGGTCTATGTGTAGCCAGCTCATGGGCTTCCCTGGTCTATTGTCATATCTTTATGAAACATTAACTTTTTAAAAATTTCATTTGAGTTAAGCACCAGTTGTTTACACCTATAATCCTAGCTACTCAGGAGGCTGTGAATCGAAGCCAGTTGGAGCAGAAAAGTCCATAAGACTCTTATTTCCAATTAATCAGCAAAAATCACAAATGGAGGCATGGCTTAAGTGGTAGAGTGCTGGCCTTGAGCAGAAAAGGCTAACGGACAGTACCTACATAGGCTCTGAGTTCAAGCCTTAGTCCTTGCATGCACACACACAAAATCTCATTTGAATGAAGAAAGCTGTTTTGTGTTTGTTTGTTTGTTTTTAAAGGAGGAAGGGTTACAGAAAAGGAAAACAATTTCATGAGTACTTTTACCATATGCTAAGTGCCAGACATGTTTTCAGTTACTGACATCTATCTAGCCCTAAGAAGGAGTTCTTGTTATTACTAGTGGAATAGAAGAAACTGTGACACTTTTATAAACTACTAAAGGAAAATGAGGGAACACATAGCAGTCTTTAAACTTACCTTTACTGGCTTTAGTGTAAGTAAGGACTTTGCCTCAGACATCAGGAAACATCACATTACCTGGTTCCAGGCCATTCTGTGTCACCTCAGCAACTAGGTATGAGTAGAATGACTTGCCGGTGGTTTGTGCAGGCAAACCAGTGGCATTTTGCATCAGCTTCTGAAACTAAAATCCGCTTCTGAAAGGAACTTCTAAATGTATTCAGCTTAATTTCCTCCAGCAGCAATAATATAAAGAACTAGGACAGAAATGTTTCTTAAAGAGCAAAGAGCTGCTTTGTATCCAGAAAAGCTTAACAATTACAGTGTAGCTAAAACGTTCTTTGAAGTATTGTATAGTACTTAAGGAAAAAAGCTCTCTGGCTTGCTTCTAAAGCAATGTGTCAAAGTAAACATATGCTATGTAAATAAATCAGTGCAGAAAGAGTACTAGCTTCTACAGCTGTGTGATATTTTCCCACTCATTAGGAAAGCCAAGCAAAAGAAACTAATGATGCTTTTGTTTTGCATGGGTTACTTTTCCTGCCTAGGAAGTCTTGCAGTACAAATGTTTAGAACTATCTCGGAAGTTCAATGAATAGGAGATGTTTCCATGTCCTACAAGACAGCAATTACACAAAAGTAAAGGGTAAAAGCTTGCTTACTCAACTTGTCAAGTCAGAAAACATGGACAAGAAATCAGGGCCCAAATTGATTTTAAAGGTAACTACTGGGGCAACTGTTTTCACAGAAAAGACTGGTTTCAAGCTTACCTAGCCCACAGTTTTGGAGGTTTCCCAAGGGTAGCCCCATTGGTTCGGGCCTTTGATGAGACAGGCACATCATGGCAGGAATGGGAGGTGGACAGGAAGCAGAGAGGCGGAGGAAGAGACCTCAGGACCACCTAAAAGTGCTGCTGCCCATCAATCACCACAGTGCTCCCTCTCAAAGTAAGTCTTCACACTGGGGCCTTTGAGTGACAAGCTGCAAACAGCAGCCCTTACCTGCTGACCTTTATCCTCCCTTACAACTTAGAAAACCATACAATGTTTACAAATATTAACATTATAAATATCTCTTAATAACCAAGAAAAAGGCAACAGAATAGCAGAATCTGTACTTATCAAGAAACTACCAAGTGTGTATTTCCATTTTCCACACAGGGAAACTGACATCAAGTCAACCAAACCATCAGGTGCTGACTCATCCTCTCTGCCCTAGTTCACACAGAGTTAATTCACAATGACTTGTTCATATTGAATTAGTTCATACTGAGTTAGTTCACAGTGAGTTAGTTCACAGTGAGGTAGTTAATTCACATCGAATTAGTTCACACTAAGTTAACACGGAGTAACTGGGTCTAGTCCTACCTACCACACTGGCACCTCAGAAGTGTCCAGAGGACTAAATGAAATCAAGTACTTACCACAGGATTGTGGAAAAGTGAGAGTTTCATTTTTCTCTTAGAGAGCTTACTAATTTGTCCCAAGTCTATAAAAAATACACATGGAAATCGAAAATAGATTCCAGACCTACAACCTAATAAATTCTCAGTCCAGTGTTTGCCTGTCTACTACATTTTCACCAAACTTCATTTTCCTGCCATGAATCTACTACTACAGCATGTTCAGTTTTTAAAAAGTGTGTCCCATGCCAGGTGCTGGTGGATCACACCTGTAATCCACCTTCAGGGGGCTGAGATCTGAGGAACACAGTCCAGAGCCAGCCTGGGAAGGAAAGTCCATAAGATTCTTATCTCCAATTACCCACCAAAAAGCCAGAAGTAGAGCTGTGATAGGGTGACATAGAGTGATGGGGTGCTAACCTTGAGAGAAACAAAGTTTAGGGACAGTGGCCAGGCCTTGAATTTAAGGCCCAGGACCAACACACAAAAAAGTATGACCCAAAAGTCACATGCACCCCCTTCCAAAATTTGAAAACATTCAGTAAATATGTTCATCAAGTTTTAGCAGAAGGCTCTGAGGTTTTCATGAGGTATGCCATATTTCAGATTCTCTAACACTAATGAAACTATGAGGTAGTTACTCAAGAGAATGCTATATTAACCCAGAAATTCTAAAACAAAATCAATTCATATATAAACCCTAAGCGAGAAAAGAACACAGAAGTCCAACAACTGGTAGTAGACTGGTCCATCTGGCAGTAAAATGACCTCAGTAACAGCCTGATACCTGCAACTACATGGGGGAAGTATTTTGCTAAGTAGCCCGACACAAAGGTTGCTGACTGCTTCCATTTATGTGGCATTTTGGAGAAGCAAACTTACTGGGGTAAAATAAACTGGTCATGGCCGGGAGTGACTCTGAAGGAGCATGAAGGACTTTCACAACTGATGGAAATGTCCTAGAGTTGGTAGCTGTGGTGCTAAATGGCTGTCAACATTCTTCATCACACAGTTTACTTTAAAAGAAGTATGTGTTTCTAGGCAAAGAACACCTTTCTCTAGGCCTCTGTAATTTTTACTACCTCATAAAAGTTGATAAGAGTAGCAGTCAAGTAAAAAAATGGTCTGCCTTTCCAGATAATGATATATTGGTCAGGCACGTAAATTTTTATCAGCTATAAATGTGAATTAAGTACAATTTAAGCTAAGATTTCCCAGATGTACATTTTTCTAAACAAATAGGAAGGTTACGAAACTGAACTACCTCCATCTCTACCGGCCTTCCATTTGCCTTCTGCTTCAGACCTTCCTACATGCTAAGAAAAGCAGATACTTTCTAGGGGCTAAAAATGTGAGGTATATGCAAGATAAATACAGAAATTTTGTTTGCTTAAATAAGACAGCTGAGGAAGATACAAAATTGCATCCAAAAGGTTATTTCCTAAGATATAGAAACATGTTTTCTATACACACCTATATATCATCCTAAAGGATAAAACTTAAGTTTCAGGGACTTTTCCATAATCAGTCTAAGTAATTTGAGAGGATTATTTACAGAGGTGAAACTTGAATTACAAGTACTTAGCAAAAAGAAAACGATATCCTCTGATTATTCCTTCTACATATAGGTATGTATGTTTTTCTTACATGTATTTTCTTCTGGCAACAGTGCTAGCATATGGCCTGCACCTTGCTTTAAGTGCTTTTGTTGTTTTTCTTCTGCAAAGCATTTTTTTTTCTTTTTTTGTGGGTCATGGGGCCTGAACTCTGGGCCTCGGCGCTGTCCCACAGCAATTCAGCTTAAGGCTAGCACTCTACCACTTGAGCCACAGTACCACTTCCAGCTTTTACTGCTTATGTGGTACTGAGGGATCGAACCCAGGGCTTTGTGCATGCAAGGCAAGCACTCTACCACTGAGTCACCTTCCTAGCTTCCAGCAAAGTAAATTTCAAAATGTAGCAAATGTTAAGAAATTAACATGACATACTGATCTCCCCTTCTCTACTAAGCCAATCTTAAACAACCATCCCCAAATAAAATAACAGGAACTTGGGTTATCAAGCAGGCTTCTTGTTTTCTGACTTAGCCATGAGAAATAAGAAAGAAGGTCAAGCTTCAGAATTTTAAGGAAATTATTTTAAGGAAATTTTTAAGGAAATATGAAAACTTTTTACAAGTTTTTCATACACTTTAGGCCTAAAACCCCTGGTTAGAATTAAGTATGTCAATTTCGGTCTATTTTTTTTGGTAAGGAATTCCTTAAAATAACTCACGAAATTATAAAGCAATACACCTTCCAGTCTTTCCAAGAAAATAAGAAACTACCCTAAACAGATATTTTAGTCTTTAATAATCAAGAATCAAGGTCCAATAAATAATTTCTTATACTTCCTTCCTATCTGCTGTTCCTCCCTAAGAGCATACTTTCCCTCAACACTAATGCTCTTTTCTGTCTAGACTTTGGTCTAACCCCAATCTTGTAACTTGCAAGAATCAATTTTTTATATGCTTCTGCTACTGCATCAGAAAAAAAAATCTTCAAGGGGAGAAACCCTGTGTGAATTTCCCTTCTTCTGAAGTGCCTTGGATAATTCCAGTTTTGTCTTCTTTCTGTATCACAGTTTAATTATTCCTTGAATATATTTTAAAGAATTCTATAAATATGAATCAGATTCTACTTTGGTCTCCTAAACATTATTTTTCCCTGAAATGTTAAGAAAGCATACACTAAAATTTTAAGTTTGAAAATGTACAGTAAGGGTATGTTACATTTTACTGCATAATCTTACCTTAATCAAATGAAAGAATCTAAATTCTAGTACATTTCCAGCTTCAATTCAGAGTTTATTTGAATCAAGCTTCAGTTTCTTGTTAATTTCCTAAAGAAACAAAATTAAAAAGCGTTAAGTTACGTTGTAGCTGCAGATAAAATGGGGTAATCACAGTCCAATCTGTCTTTCCAAGTAACCCACAGCAGGCAAACTGTAAGGAGGTCAGAATCAGAAGTACCATGAAGCACTAATGGGTCATCACTGCTTCCTTCCGTATCATCCAGTAGGGACATCACAGAGCTTCTTGTCCTAGTGTTATGAGAGAAGGGGAAAGGGGCCTCCTGAAAGTGTGGAGTCCTCGCTCATTTCATCAGCCACATCTGGCTTTGGTAATGAAGGCAAGCAGGAGTTTAAAACTCAGAGGTAGGAGAACTACATTCTCTGGTCCCAGACCACATGGTAAATCCATTTGCTCACTTTGTTCTCGTGCTGGAAACGGGCATAGCAGCAGAGGATGCACCTTACAGAATAATAAAAGTGTATCTCTGGTTAGATGATGGAAAAGGTAGAGCTCCAAAGAGTCAGAGATCACTAGCAATCTCAGGCCAGAAGGACAATTACTTAAAACTAGCTTCACCTTCAGTGCTGAACCTCATACAGATCTGTCCCAACAGAAGCATTCAGACTATAGAACTGAGCTGTGGAACAGACCACCTTCCAAACTCCGTACTAGCAATGAATAGGTGGTACAGAACCAAATAGCAAAGCAAAAACTTCAAAATGGAATCAATATTCAAACACAACCCACAGGAGCTAGGTTGAACCTCACCAGATTACTACTAAAACGAATTATCAACATTCTGCACTGGATGTCCAGAGCAGGACCCGAAAGTTCATCACATGTGCAGAATAAAATCCAAAATTATGATGTGTATAAAAAGCTGGAAAAAAACTCAATTTACATGGGGAAAATACCAATACTAAGAAAAGCTCTAATATCTGAATTACATACCTAGATAAAGACATTAAACACAAGACATTATTACAGAATGCATCAACAAGTAATAGCAAATATTACTGAAACAAATGGAAAGACAGGTATCTTAGAGAAGAAATAGAGATATAAAGAAGAGCCCAATGGAAATCTGGCAAGTGGAAAAATACCCATAGTCAAATAAAAAGCAGCCCATTAAATGAGTTCAACAACAGCACAAAGGAGGAAAACTCAGAGAATTTACTACAAATGTATAGGAATTATCCAGCCTGACCAACAGAAAAAAAATGGGGGGAAAGAGTTTTTATCCAAGAAGCATTGTTCTTATAACTTGACTTATGGAACTGTAACCCCCTTTGTGCAACTACCTAATAATAATTAATTGAAGTTTCCCCTCTCAAAGGCCAGCAAGACAAAAAGCACTGAGTGTAAGTAAAAATACTTTAAGAAAATATTTTCCACATTTATTGAAAGACATAAACTTGTATATATTCTGAAAAGCTTAGCAACACATAGGAAGAGGCTAATTACAAAGAGTACTATTCCCAGATACACCATAATTAAACATTATATATCTAATTAAGCAAAAGACAAAGGAAAATGTCTTTAAAATACTTTTAGGGGAAAATATCCAAATGACTACAGATTTATTTTCAGTAATTATGGAGGACAGAAAGAAGTAGAACATTTTTTAAATGTTAAAGAAGAAAGTGGAGAATCGTGAAAGAGATGCCATTGTACTCATAAATTGAGATATGTTGTACTCATGAACTGACATGTTGAACTGAAACCGCTTTGTACAACTAATAAAACTAAGTAAACAATTTTTTAAATGTTAAAATAGAAAACCTGTCAAACCAGATTTCTATACCAGCAACAACACCCTTCAGATAAAAGTGAAATAACTTTTGACACTTTCAGGTAAAGGATAGTTAAGACAATGTGTTGAGAGAAGGACTGCTTTGAAAGAAATGCTAACAGAAGCTCTTCCAGCAGGTAAGAAATGATGCCAGAAGGGAAACAGAGCCAGGCAGGGAGTGCACATGAGAGCTGGAGGCTGAGGTAGGAGAACTGGGAATTCAAGGCCCGACTGGCCTACATAGTAAGGCCATGTCTCAAAAACAGAAAAGAAAAAGGTTAACAACGTATGCATCCACCTCAAGAAAACAAAGAAAGAGGGGAAATTTTAACACAAAGCAGGTAGAAGGAATGAAATAACAGAAATCAAATAAACTAAAAAGAGTAAAATTACAGAAAAATCCATAAAACAAAAACTGGCTCTTTGAAAAGATCAATCTCCACAAGTATCAAGACCAACACAGATGAAGTGGAAAAAGCCACAAATTCAATAACTATTGGCATAAATGAGATTTTGTTACAGACCCCACCAACATTTTTGGGGGAGGGGGTCGGTCATGGGGCTTGAACTCTGGGCCTGGGACTGTCCCTCAGCTCTTCAGCTCAAGGCAAGTGCTCTACTACTTGAGCCACAGTGCCACTTCCAGCTTTCTGGTGGTTTATTGGAGATGAGAGTCTCACAGATTTCCCTGCCAAGGCTGGCTTTGAACCATGATCCTCAGATCTCAGCCTAAGATTACAGGTGTGAGCCACCAGCACCTGGCCCCACAAACATTTTAAAGATATGTGGTGAACAGTTCTATACATGTAAATTCAACAACTTAAATAGACTAATTTCCTGAAACCACAAACTACCAATATGCATTCATATAAGCTGCACAGCCTCATAACTACCAAATAAATTCTTTGTACGTAAAAACTTTCAAAAAGGAAATTCCAAATCTAGATCCATTTCACTTATTAAAAATGATCAAAAAAGTACACATTAGTTAGAAAGATATGAAAGTACACACTGGTAAGAAAAGATGAGTAAGAAAGAAATGCTATGCATTGCTAAGAAAAAGCAGCAACTGCCACTTGAATGACATGATTAAAAGAAAATTTTAAGATTGTCATCAGCTAGAAAGTAAGTCCGACACTGACTGGTGGCTCACGCCTATAATCCTAGCAACTCAAGAGGCTGAGATCTGAGGAACACAGTTGAAAACCAACTTATGTAGGAAAGTCTATGAGACTCTTTCCTCCAATCATGCACCAAAAAGCTGGATGTAGACCTGTGGCTCAAGTGGTAGAGTGCTAGCCTTGAGCAAAAGTGCTCAGGGGCCAGCAGCACACACAAAAAAATCCTGCAATTGGGCAAATGATATAGCTAGCAAGATCAATAGAAAGCCCACGGATTGGGAGAAGATCTTTACTAACCATACAACGGACAAGGGTGTCATATCTAAAATATACTTGGAACTCAAAAAATTAA